TTATCATGGTTGTTGTTTGTGCAAGATTGTGAACCATTCCTTGTAAAAATTGATAAAACTGTATGAATCATATCCAGTTACTGATGAATTCTGCGTAGAAAGTTTCACATCATCCAGGCTTTTGGTCATTTTCACATTGAAAACAGGTTTCCTCTACTCATTGGCTTGACTCTAGAATTTTATGGTATCATAAATTAAAACACCTCTTATTAATCATAATAAACCATAGTTTTTATTTTTAAAATATTAAGCTGTAAAATTTTATATTGTTTTTATTTTTTTTTAAAATTGTGGTATTTGTCATATATTCTTTCATTTCCTCTAAATGAGCATTTTTTTCTAGAAATTTTGAAACTATATAAAAGTGTAATTATATCTTATGGTCTACAGTTTTCAACATTTTCAAATTTTCATTAAAAAAATTGACATATTTTGTCAGATATTCTTGAATTCAGTACAAATTTCAGTTAACAGTGTGTTTTTCTCTAGAAATATAGAAACTACCTGGTACTAAAGGTACTGTAAAATATCTGGTGGAATCAAGTTTCAGACCTGGCAGAATTCCAACCCAAGTTGAAAGGTACATCATTTCTAAATTATTCTACGGTACCGAGAGATTGACTGCCTGATTCACAGAGTACTGGCATCGTAGTTCCTGATACTATAATTATTCATAGTGACTAATCAACTCACCTTTACAGTTTATAGGTCAAACTAATACTTTAACACTACTAGTCAGCACTGTCGTTAGGGTGGGGTCTGTGGGGGCTTGGTCTCAGCAAGTGAGAATTAAGCCCCAGCAAAACCTTCTTCAGATCAGCAGAGATTGATTCATTTACATTGTCTTTGTATAAAATCAAAAAGATACAGATTTTGAAACATTTTGGCAGCTCAAAGCTGTCAGAAATGAGTTCTCTGGGCCTTTAATTCTTCATCAGTCCCAGCATCAATTCATTTCTGGCGATGGGGCTGCTACTAATTCCAATATATCTAGTTCCCTTGGTACTTGGTTCTTTGGAATTGGAATATCAGCTTGAATTATTCCTGATAGTCTTGAAATACTCTTCCATTGATAAAAAAAAATAAGTACAAATAAAATGATTGAACTAGCAAATTGCTGACTGTCCTTCATTAAGAGACCACTTTGGACTCATCCCTTGAGTGGTCTTATTGAAGGTTTTACTGTACATGCTATAATCTAGAAATTAATTTTTACAAAGGCTATTCGAAGCTGGGCATATTTTAGGTTGAGATTTCTTTCTAGTAGGAATTATGTTTCTATTCAAAACAATGTCATTCTAAGACTAACAGTACTGTTTTGAAGCTGATCCCAACTCCCTTTTCAATCAGTAAAATTTGATTTACTGACTAGAGTATAATGACTATGGACCAGTTTGAACTATTTTGATAGTTTTAAAGAAAATGCTAAAATATTTAGGAAAGAAGAGAAGAAATAAAGCCAGTCTAAGATTTTATCTTTTCTATCTTGAATGATGGAACACAGAATAATTTATTTTCAATTTAACAACTTGTTCCATTTTCTTGCCAATTTCCTTATCTCAAATATTTCAGAATTTAATTCTTTTATTTCCTGGTGTTAAATTACACTCAGATAATATTGCTCTTTGATTTTCTTTTTCTTTTTTGAGTACTGGAATAAGAATATTCTGGAGATCTAAAATTATGGAGCTCAGACCTCAATTTCGACTATTAAAAAACATTTAAAAGAGAAAATGATTTGTTCCTTATTCTATTTTCCACAGCCAGTACTTTTGTGATTCAGCCTTGTATTTCCTCTAAATCGTTTCCACCTAACATAAATCATGACAAAAGCTTCAAAAATAAACTCCACCAAAACATGTTGTTAATTAATAAAAAATAAGAGAATTTGGCGGAGTGACAGAACTTGGAGAAATAATAATATTGGTATAAGATAATGTCTTGATGATATTTATAATATTTCATTATCATCTTATCACTTTACTGTGTTATTCTACTTAATTTAAGGCTTTTTTACAGTCTTTATCAACTCAAACTGGAGCAAATGAAATTTTACATCCTTTTTTTTCTGCACCTAATTGGCTACTGAGGATGGCAGAGAAATAAGATATAAATCAAATTTAGATATTAGAGACAAAGATTTCACAATGAGTCAATGAGTCATTATCATAATAAAAAAAATACTAGGGGATATATGATGGTAGATCACACACTAATATCAAAGTACTTTAAAGAAGTGTTTATACCATAATATTTTTTTGCCCTAGTGTTTTTTGCTATCTGTGCTCCCCACTTCTAAATGTGGTTCAAATCGTTTGTATTATTATAACAAAATAAACACTAGAGAATATATTATGGTATATCACACACATACATGTGTAATCTACCACTTTTGCATGTTGTCCACCTCTCTACTGATGCGATACCAAATTCTACAGATTTTGGGGTTTTTTCCTGACCAAATTTTCACAGGACCTACCATTTTCAATGTCCAAATTCTCTACCATAAATCTACAAAATATCTATCATCACTTGTATCTTAATTGCCGTTAACACGCGTTAATCTCATCACATAATAATTTTATCATTGCCTGATTAATTAATCCCCCAATTAAGATGTTAATTTGATCTATTTTATCTAATGAAAAGTACTTTAAAGAAGTGTGTTATACCATTCCTTTGTGTTTTTAGTAATATGTGCTCCCCACTATTAAAGGGACAGATGTGCCATTTTGGGAGGTTGATTTGAGTCTTGAATATATGTATATAGTCTTCAGAAGTAATAGAAATGTACGAAAATAGCATTATTCCTTCAAGAATATCTCAAACTTTGAATTCCTTTTCCTATTTCTATAGATGTGTTTTCTATATATGGCAGTGTTTGAAGAAAAGACAACTCATTTTTTTAACTTCTAAACACGGATAATTCTTGACTAATTGGATTTGAAGACTCAAATATCGACGGTGAACTGTGACTCTATTACTGATTGGCTTAGCTAAAAAATTATCGCTTCTGAGACTGAAAAATGGAACACATGTCCCTTTAAATGTGGTTCAAATTTAATGCCTTATTTAGTTAAAAAACAAATAAATTTGACACCAGGTTATTATTAAACTACTGTTTATAATATTGAGGGGCGTGGGATATCAGTTTACAATTAGTCATAATAAACTTAATAATACTAATGACTAATCTAACAACCTGTAAATAATCAGATTTTCAACTATGAGTGTTTTTAGGGATATTTTAATATTATTATCAAAGAGTGTTTTAGAGTGTAGCTTTATATTTATTTTATCTATGGGAGTTTTTTTTCTTAATACGGTGTCGATTCCAAAAAACGTCACTGGGTATAATCTTATGTTATATTTTCAACTATGTGTGTTTTTAGGCATATTTTAATATTATTATCAAAGAGTGTTTTAGGGTGTATATTTATCTTTATTTTATCTATGGGAGTTTTTTTTAAGGTATTTTGATGATAATCAGTTGTAACCAAAACACACAATAGACTATGATTCAATGATAGACAGGGAAGGATTTTATAATATATGCTTCATCTAATCGCATAATTTGATCTTAATTCATTTTCCGATATTTTTAAAATAAAAATATTATCGAATTAAACAATTTTCCAGAAAGTAAATGAAAGAAATTCAATCTAAGAATCTAAGGAGAAATGAAAATGGAGGAAAAAGACATCAAATTCAGAAAATTAATTTAACTGTCAAAACAAGCTATCATATCTTGATAACAGTCAACTTTAATATTGTTGATAGATGCAGAAAATATATCAGCTGTGACAAATTGCTCATGAAATGTTGTTAAAATGTTGTTTTAGATGCTATCATGGTCAGAATGCTTCAAGCTGGTCTAATATTCAGATTTATGAGGCATGAAATGATCCTTCTTCATGATTATTTTCATTTATTTAGCTCATCACTTGCAAAAATAAATAGTTTTCCCTGCTTTCTAGAATTGATTGCTAATAATAATTAAGCCAATATGGGTCAAGACACAATGATAATACGGGTTGCATCTTTGGTTTTCTGTTAAATTGTTGATGTTTAAACAGTACTTTGGTTTTCATATTTGACCATTAAAGGAGAGGTGAATTGAGATGACTTTCAGAAAATTACCTTCTCCTGTTCTCTAACGCATTTTTTTTTTTTAGCCTATCATGAACTTTTGTTTATAGAAATAAAGAAATAATTTAATGCACTGCAATTCAATTTATCAAATGTGATGATATGTAAATTGTACACATAACCTTTTTACCTGTACAGAGGTCATTCAGGTGTGTATTATGATATGAATATTACAGGTAAAGTTATTAGAATATCACACCTATATAAATATACAGTTTATGGCTGATATCTGTAATATTCATGCCTGTATACATTCATAAACATTCATTACACATAAACGACTCTAACATACGTCAACTTGTTTTTATTTCAGGAAGATCTTTCTAACATATTAGAATGTAGGTCAAAGTTATTTCCAGTCAAAGATTTATAAACAAGGACTAATTCATTCAATCATTCATTCATTAACACATATGCTTGTTTATTCATACTTTCCTTTGTTTACTCCCACTGATGTACATATTAACAGAAAATATAACATATTTATTTCAGGATGAACGTAATTTTCAGCCAATAATTCATTCATTCATTCAATACTTTTTAAGTTCATTCATTCATTCATTCATTCCTTCATTCCTGCATTCATTTATTCATGTGTTCATTTATCTGTTACTTCATTAATTCCATCAATCATTCATTCATTCCTTAGTTCATTCATTCATTCATTCAACATTCATTCGTCTATCTATTCTTTCAGTCATCTGATGTCATTTTCCATTTTCCATGAATACATAGATGTATTTGAAGAACACAATCCTATCATGTTCATAGCAGGGCCTTATTCTCAAAAACTTAACACAAGAGGATTTTAGTTTTTCATTCATCTGATTGGATTCATTTTTGAAGATTGATTATCCAATCAAATTACTGTATTTTTTAAAATCTTTATTTTTGCAAGTTAAGTTTTTGAGAACCAGGCCTATCATCTGTAAATGATATATGAAGCTGTGTTTTAAAATAAAACTAAACTTACCATTAAATGCATCATCTAATTCCTGTTTGGAGAAAACCAAGTTATAATCAGAGATGGCACAGGTATGGAATTGGCAACCCCACATGACCTCTCGTTGTCCAGTTCTAACTTTTTTATGGTAGCACTTGATGAGAATATCCCCTCGTAGCGGAATTCCTGGAGATATCGAGATACAGACTTTCTGCATATTGTCGGACACATTACTGCAAAAAAAAGGGAGAGTTGTAAGTTATGAAGGTCTGACCTTTAATCATTGGCTACAACTAGGGGTCAAATTTGAAGGCGATTGAAGTCACAAAGGCTGTAATATACCAGAACTTTGTTTTAGTCTCAAATTAAAATCTGTCAAAATTTCTGTGAGGGAGAAGTCACTTCCCCAAAGTTTGGCCTCGACTGCATTATCATATTATAACATATATTCCATATTGCATACCTAAACCACTTTTTAAAATTTGATGACCATGGTGTCTTTCCTCCATCTATCTATTTTCAAAAATTTGATGTAAAAATATAACATGTTAGCATCCATTTGCTGGTGTCAGGTAAGATATGTCCATAAATTATATTCGGAGGGTCCCACACCAAGGTTATTATATGTGTCCCCGGCCTTCTTCAAACCATTAGCATGTCAAAAACAGGGCAGGGCATGCTCACCCTTTTGGAACATTACTGATGCTACTCTATATCTCTTTCAGAGAATTTACATAGCTGATTATTTTTTACGTATATAGGTTTGTCCACTCAGATGTTCAATCGGAAAGTCTAGATATTAATGTTTATTTGGTAGGCCTTTATGTTTGTGTATTTAAGAAGCAGAAATTCAAGTTATCATCAGAAATAAAAGAATAATTTCCAATTGAATTAAAATTAAAATCCAGATGATTTCCTGGATGAAAAATGAAGGAACCTGAAACATCTAGATCTGCATCTAATCAAAGTGTCTTAAAATCTATTTTATTTTCCTTGCATGTTATTATCAAACCATAATATCATTATCTGTATCAACTCAAGTTGATGTTGTACATCATTTATCATGCTTTTAATTCTCTGAATTATTTCTCTGTGTAAGTCGAGTTTTTCTTCTAGCCATGTTTTTTTTCTGGTTTGCGTCAAATTAAAGAAAGGTGGTAAAGAGTAGGTGTAGAATATATGGCACCGATTACTGATATCAGATCACCATGGTTACCAGAAGAATATTGTATTAGGGTAAGGTATATCATATGGTCATAGAAATAACTACTTGACTACTGTATCACAGTCAGTTTGCACTCACAGTTACTGATAATCTTGTTTTGATATTCACAGGGAGGCAGATTTTAAGGGTGGTCAGGATTTTATAGTTGAGTTGTTTGGGAGAATATTTAATAACTAGTCAACAACTTCAAGTCAACCTGCACTCACAGTTACTGATGATCTTGTTTGATTTTCACAGGGGGGCAAGTTTTTAAGGTGGTTGGGGGATTTTATAGTTGAGTTTTGGAAGAAACTTGCACTCACTACAAGATACTGATAGGATTGTTATATTCACACAGGGAGGCATTTTTGTCTCAGGGTGGGGTGGGGCAATATTCTAGTAGAGGTATTTGGGCAAAGTCAAGATGGCTTGGCAGACACAGTAACAGAGGTCCACTTGGAACTAAATTCTGCTGAAGAGAGGTAAAGGGGTCTGTATAAAATTGCACTAACATTGACTGCTTGGCAGGGTCGAAATTATACAGGAGGGGTAGGGGGGAATTGAGAGGGTGTAGGAGCTTCTTAAAAACATTATTTTTTGCGTGGTACAAAGTTTGATTGGACTATTAAGGGTTAGGAAATTCCTGAATTAAAATAAGATTAATTAGTGAAGTAATAACAGATTAAACTCTTACCAGGAATAACATTAACATTTATTCTGCCTTTTTTATTTTAAATTCAAGATAAAATTTATCAGGGAAGAAATATAAATATCTCATATTTCTTGACAGTTTTTCATGATAAAAGCCGAAAAACACCAACAAAAAAATTATGTTAGCTAATTTATTTGGTTTCTTTGATTCTTCGTTTACCTTTTCATTAAAACCACCACACAAGTTGTGTCTATGTTTTGGCAGTAGAAAAAATTCAAGTTATTTCTGAAATCAATGCTTTGCCAAATTTCTTAAAACATGACTTTTGTTTTCTTATTCACAAATAAAATTGTTAGGAAGTTTTTAGGAATGTTGGTCTCAGGAAAAAAATCATCTATGTAATAAAAAGTCTGTTCAAACGAGACAGTTCTGTTAATCAAAATCTCGTCCAAAGTATGGCAAAATTGAGAGCAGAAGTTGTGTTATAGTGAACTCCTCCAAAGAGAAGTACCATCAGGTGTTTCGAAAAGAGTTAAGCATGGTCATGTAACCTTTATGCAAATGATGCAGAGTGGATAATGATCATTTTAATCTATTATATGTAGAGAGTATAATATTGATCAAGGGAGATAATTTTCTAATTTGATCTGACTTCAAATAAAAATTCGTAGGAAGGCCTTCTGATTGTCATTTCTTACATAATTATACCAGCATGGCTTTTATAGATGCCTTCATTATTAGGGCCTTTATTGATGTTCATTATTCTATTGTCATTTCTTACATAATTATACCACCATGGCTTTTATAGATGCCTTCATTATTAGGGCCTTTATTGATGTTCATTATTCTATTGTCATTTCTTACATAATTATACCACCATGGCTTTTATAGATGCCTTCATTATTAGGGCCTTTATTGATGTTTAATACTCTATTGTCATTTGGTATGAAAAAATCAATTCAACTTATTAGATTCCTGAAGTAAACATGGGTTGAAAATTTCTTACAAGATTATAATTTTACTACAAAATATCTACTAAATGAATGAAAAACGAATTCCACTTACTAAATTCCTGAAGTAAAGATGGGTTGCATCCCTTGGTAGACTTTAATAAAAGGACGACAGCCTCCCCGGGTATCAAAATTCGGTACACCATGGATGACAATATGGTGGAGAAATAAAGCGTTACTGTTGATTTTAATTGCACCCGATAATAATCCAGCAAAATAATTTACATATCTGAAAATAACCAACAAAATTATTTACATGTCTGAAAATAACCAACAAAATCATTTACATGTCTGAAAAATAAAACATAGATATCTTAACATGGCTCCTCAAAAACCCAAGTTGTTATCTTTTTAAAAAATATTTTTTTTTTTTTTTGTCTTTGATCTCAGAAAACATGGAATCTTGAATCCTGAAATCATTTTCTTGCAAAATCTCCAGCCATATTGTCCACACACCTGTTGTAATTTCTCAAGAACTAGAGTCATCATGATTGTAAAATATGGTTGTTGTTTTTTGTTTCCTTTTATATGATCATATTTAAAAATTGGAAATCTTAGGTGAACCAATCATATCCTGTAAATCCATCACAGCATTGTCCTGAACTAGATACAAACCTAATGGAAGCCTTCACATGTACATAATGAAGAGTTATTAAATGCTTAACAAGTCTTACCTTCGTTGAGATGGTTGAGGTAAACCTCCAAGTTTATCATCGTAAAAACGTTTCATAGCAAATCTATCTAACGCTCCATCAGCACTGCAAATATATAAACATATATCTTAGAAATATTAAAACAGAACCTTAAAAAACATTCTGTTGTTACTCAGAGTTTCACGCTATGCGATCTTCAAACATCTATATTTTATATTGAACTTAACTCTTTCATCCTAGGGTCTTATTCTCGAAAACACATCACATTGTATGGAACCCCAAAACTAAAGGAGTGATAAAAAGTTTCTTAAAATCAACATTGAACACAACCAAATTTGAAAAAAAAAAATCCAGTTATTTCCCTTTGATCAACAGTTGATGCCAAAGAATAACCATTCCATCGCACTTTGGAAATTTTAAGAACTTGACTTTTGGTGCCAACAAACCAGGAAATGGATGCTGTATTCTAAAAAATCACATTTTTATAAAATTGCACCTTTTCATTTTAGTCTTCCTTTTGAATCATCAGAAAACTCGCAGGTAATGATCATTTCTTGGTTATTCCACAAAGTTATCAATTTTTAGTCACAAGATCCAGAAATTAGCCCAATCACCAGTGAACACTGTCCACTACACATATCAATTTAATGGCTTTCTTGACCCAATAATATCGACTGAAAATTAGTCACCAGTCACAAATTCGACACATTTAAGTTGCTTGGTCAGCAAGAATTTTAATGGCCCAGTTCTACATTTATTGAATGGTATTGTAGACAATGTTTCTCTTTGAGGGAAGGTCTCATTCAACTAGGCATAAAGAATACATAGACTTAAACAAATCGTTGACAAACCAAGTGTCAGTAAGTCATTCTCTATTATTGTAATGTAATCAATTGTCATACAATGTTGTACATTGTTACCCAATAGAGAGTAGTTATACCTGGTATTCTATACAATTCAATACAACTGTATTATTGTGGTTAGAGATCATGTGAATCAGGTCACTGTGTAATTGAATAGAAGATTGATCTGTTGAGTTGATTTCTTTTTTGGGGGGTGAAACTTATACTAGATATTCTCATATGTAATACAGGGCATACAGGCTGCCGGCTTGTTAGGGCGGGGGAGCAGGCTGGCTTGCCAGAACCTTTAGAGGGTTGAGATGTCTAGCGAAGCACAACTGGCACTAGTCTGCCCGAGGTTTTTTCGGTCGCTGGCCGAAAAGATTATATTTGAGGCGCACCTGTTCCCCGTCTCCTACGCCTACATGCCAGCTGATGGAGCTCTATTGCACCATTAATGAATACAAATTGGACGCCCAGTTTTCCTTCATGCATTCAAATTTAGATAACTTTAGGTTTTTCAGCTGGTATTTCAATATCTTACTACACCTACCTTGCACAAATACTACTGTAATGCATATATGCTGCGATAACATTAGCAATTCTGCTTTTCCCGCCTTTACAATGGATGATGACCACATGCTGGGGGTCAGAGTTCAACCACGAATCCATGGATTTACAAATACTACATAATCGTTCCAATGGTGGCGCCAGGTGTTCAGGCCAGCCATATTCTTTTACATGTGGATTTAATTTTGTGAGGTCACCTCTTTTATCAGATACATTGATAATCTACAATGGAAAAAAAAACTTTTAAAATACAAGGGAGATTTACGACTTACTTTTTTGCACATTTTAGAAAAAGCAAAGGATACGAAATGAAATGAAATGAAGGGAGTTTTACGTCCTACTTTTCTCCACCATGTAAAGAATACAAAGAAAGTGCAACAAAGACAATCTTTCTAACAAAACACAAGAAAATATTACATCTGATGACGACACGTGTATATTGTGTTGAAACGTTATGTGCCCAACCTTATTAAAGAAGTGTTTATATTCCATAATATTGTCTTGTTATATGTGCTCCTCGCTTCTATATGTCATTCAAATCTTATAAAGACAATCTTGCTGAGAAAATGAATGAATATATTCAGAGCAGTAACTTGTGAACATCAATAATACACATCAGTTAGTAGAAGGATCAATCTCAAAAACTTAGTCTTAATATCTATTAAAGACCCTCAAAATTAAGAGTATTGAATGTAAACATATTTACTCTAAGGAATAGTTACTTACATAATAGTTATCTTGATGTTTGGTTCTTAACATCTTCGTTACGTCTTTTAGATTGTATCTGTATGTTAGATCATTTCCTTCTGATACAAAACACATAGCTACAAAATATACAAAATACTTATATTAAAAAAACACATAGCTACAAAATATACAAAATACTTATATTAGAAAAACACATAGCTACAAAATATACAAAATATTTATATTAAAAAAACACATAGCTACAAAATATACAAAATATTTATATTAAAAAAACACATAGCTACAAAATACTTATAAAATACAAAACACATATCTACAAAATATACAAAATACTTATATTATAAAATCAAATAGCTACAAAATACTTAGAAAATACTTCTATTATACAAAACACAATGCTATAAAATACTTATTACTTATAATATACAAAACACAATACAATATATACAAATTACTTCTATTATACAAAATATACAAAATACTTTTATTATACAAAACGTAAAAATACTTATAAAATACAAAAGACATAGACACAAAATATAGAATTCGGTATGACATTCTGCAAGCTTGTATCAATAAGAAATAGCTATCAACATTTCCAGGGCAGAGGAACAGGGGTTTGGTTTAACATCTAAAGACTTTAAAATTGGCTGGTGTCAACATTTTGTCAGGATAGTTTTTTTAAATAAAGTTTTTACTTACAAATGATCCTCTCTGTAATATAGGTGACATCTAGAACCATCTGGTCCTCACCAGGAGGCTCTGCTGTCCTGGAAATATACAAAGATACAAATTAAAACTTTGTTATCAACATTTAAACCAAAATAATGAAGTAGGATCTACATTTGTATCAATATAGCCACATGAAATAAATATAGCAAAATTAAATCGAAAGGGTTTTCAAAGAATGGCATCAGGTGTTTAAGAAAGATTGGGTATGCTCTGCCTCTTTAACAAAAACTGCGCGTTTCCCAGTTGAAAATAATCTTGCATATATAGGACACCAGAAGACATTAAAGATGGGTTCCCTTATATTTATTTATAAAAATGAAAATACTAATACTTATATGAACAGAAAATAGAGGTGTTCTAATGACTTAGAAAAATTCCAGTTTGTCTCACATGTCCATAATTAATTCATAATTAGCTAATTTAGGAGAGAATTACCGGCAGAATTTCAATGAGTGACCGATCAAAAAAGGTCAAAAAGTATTTTTTTGTTTATCCAGACTGTACATACATGGATATTCATCAGAAACACAAATTAATCAAATAGTTTGCTAAATTTGACACTAAAAAATAAGGAAAGTCATCTTTAAGCATGGCTCTATGTTGTAATGATTTCTAAGTACGTTATTTGCCAACTTCTTCAAAAAAATCTTCCAAGATTAACTCAAATTCATATTAGTAAGTAATAATACAACTCAACAATACAACAAAATTCTGTTCTTCAAACAAAATTAAGAGAAGATAGAGTAAATTTGATAAAAAACACTGAACAAAAGGAAAGATCAATTTAACTGAAGCATGGAGTCGCAGGAATCATTCCAAAATATCTTGAAGAATATTAAACACAAATCTGCAGACTTAAGGTTGTATTGCAACATTATTTTGAATATTTCATTGATGTTAGAAGTAAGCCCAATAACTTTATGTTTCATGGCCTTTCTTGTAGGTTTTTATAGAAATATTTTTAAATATTTGCCATTTTTAGAGAAATTTAAAGTCTCAAACTTGGTCAATAAGAGTATATATTCATCAGTTGAACTTACCAGGCTCCATGACTAAAGAATAGAATCTCCCTATAACACAATATATCCATTAAACTAAATATTACACACTTCCATGTTTCAAAATTACTTATTTTAATGGATTATTATAAAGTTTTATGTATTGATTGGATTGAAGAGGGATTCTTGCGTATAGTTATGACACCGTAACGAACAAAAACTCATTTTAATTCAGGTTAAAAATTTCAATTTTTTGGTCATCCTCAGAGGTAGTATACCTTTAAAACCCTGGTTCCCAACCTGGGGAGATTTCACCCCCCTGGGGGTATGGTACTAGGGTGTCGGGGGTGTGGTACTAGGGTGTCAGGGGTGTGGCCAACTGGTGTAGGAGAAGAATTTATTTTGAATTGAAAGTTTACCTCACATCATCACATGCTGGAAATGTGGATGAAACAAATTTTTGGGGTGGTAAAGGTCCAGCTGATTACTCAAGGGGTGTGAAGGCTGAAAAAGGTTGGTAACCACTGATTTTAAACAAGAGGTAAATAATAACAGAATAAAGGGCTGAATCATTTGATTGATATTTTATAGTTCATGGAGATTAAAGACTCAAGATCAATCGAAACACTTCACGGCCCATTAACCCCCTTGATAGAATTCATTACTATTCTATCAAACAATGTGTTCATTTAATTAGTAATGCTCCAGACAACAAAGGATTCATTTAATTAAATTGCCTCATCATCTCCTGTCATCTTCGTAAATTAATGCACACAATCAATTTCAATCAAATTTAAAAAGGAATTGTTTTTTCTTAACATCATTTTCTAATCTTTATTTTTGAACATTGCTGATTTTAAGTTTGGCGTTAAAAAGTTAAAGGCTGGACTTTTTAAGTTAAAACCTTCAGATACGTTAAAAGACACAAAAATTTGACCCACAAAAAAGCGGAATGTGCCTTTAAGAACCCACCACTCAACCTATCCCCATTACCTCCCTCGAATTGATAGGTTAGTTGATAAGTATCAAGAGTCTAGCCCAAACCTGTAAGCACTGGTTGTGGTGTGAAAATCAATTAGTATGAACAATTTAATTGAACAATGCAAGAAATATAAACAAGAAAAAAGGGGGTTGGGGTCGTTTTCTAAACTTAACATAACTGGAACCGAATTCACAAGCAACTACCTTGTTCCCCTTGGACTTGCTGCCTTATTGGTGACCTGTATTTGTTTTTTAGTTACGAAATAAGGAACCACTTTACTTGATGTTTTTTTCTTTTTTTTGTCACTAGAGTTTTCTAGCAGAAGTGACGTGCTACAATTAGAATATTACACAATTTATTGAACTAGTCTTAGACCGGGATATATCTGGCCGTAAAGGACTGAGACCTAGTAACTGGCAGACACCCACAAGTACTAGGCTTGGCATCAGAATGTTTGTGTTGATTCAATTCCATTGTGCCTGTGAAAACATGTTATCGGATCTGTAGCAGTTGACAGCAATATACACTAGCAACGAGAGAAACCATTTTTCTGGCATTTTTCAGAACGTTTGCGTTGATTCAATTCTATTGTGCCTGTGACAACAATTGATATTAGCAACTAGAGGAACCATTTGTATTAGAAAAGAGCACATGGACAACTGTCAACTTTTCAATCAATGGAGAAATCAGGTCAAATCAAATTCTCAGAGATTCTAGCCGTTGCTACGTCAACCAAAGTCCCTGTTAGTGATTAGGGTGGGTGAAAGTAACAAGTTACTGTTCAATATGAGGTGCTGGCACAGGGTTAAAGTATTGTTTACAACTATTGTGGTGTTAATATTGTAAAGTAGTGTTAACTCAAAACTTTATTTAATTCTAAGACACAAAATATTTTTGAAGTTCAAGTAGACCAAAAAAACGATTGTTTAAAATCTGCCTTGAGGTATTTTGATAGAATATTGAAAAGTAATTGAATGTATATGCCTGAAGCTCTGTTGTTTATTTATTTGTGTAATCATCTTTGATAATTTTATCAACAAGACAATGTAATAACAATATAACAGATAATTTAAGATGAAATAGGATACTGTAATAGTCTCTATCATCAATATTATTATAATTAAATTGTTCAGAATTAATTTATCTGTCATTGACCAAGATCTTCAAAAGATTTCAAACAAGGCTGGTTTTAAAATGTTCAGGGTTTCCCTTTTAATTGAAGATTTAGGCCAAAACTTATTGGATGATCAATTATCAAAATTACATGCAAACAATTTTGTTTTAAAATACCTAATTTCAAAATATTCGTTTAATGAATTAACTCTTAAACAATTCAAATCTGTCCTAGTCATAATTCCAGTGCCTTCCGTTGAATAGTAACTACTGTATGTTTCCGTGTATAACGCAGTTTTTTTTACCCCCTTACAGAAGGGGTGCGCACTATACACAATGAAATAAATTTTGAGTTTTTTTTCCCATCGAAAATACCGCGAATAGATGTTGAGGATCTGCCAATTTGTCTTCCTTCATTGCCACGTTGCTAAGTTTATAAAATCTGATCTTTCAACCACCCCTACCCATAGAGTTAACACTAGTAAATGTACCTAATGCTCTAAAATCAATACTAAAGAACTGAAGAAAGTTGTGGTAATGTGGTAATGTGGTAAGAAGGTCTAAGGTTACATGTGTACATGTTTCTACTGTACTACTATTGTTACAACATATACCCTATACAGGTAATATCAATACTAATATTGACTATAATTACTATAACAAGCACCTGTAAACTTCAACATCTGGGCCAAAATTTCCCCCCATAAAAATTCTGATAGCGCTCTGCAACATATCTTTGTATTTAATGATAGCCATATTTCCCCATTATCACAATCATGTGACAAAAAATGAAAAACATCACTCAATAGGAAACACAGTTTTCCTACATTCATTACCAAAGCCAATCCAGATTATGTCATATGTTATATAAATAAATATTTACTCTTCTACTAACAAGCTATGTTAAAATTTATAAGTAAGAGTTGTTTCCCTTACCTGGTGATCATATCTCGTAAACTGGACATGATACCTCGTGAGCCTGCCGAATTGACTGGAGGCTGAAATAAACAAATAAAAAATATCAATAAATCAGTAAAACTGGGGTTTCTTCAGTTAGTTCAATTATATGTCCGGTGTTAATTTAAAGAGAGTTGACCCATATTTCCAGAACTAGGTGTCCTGGTGGGAATCCAGTGTCTGAAACACTTGTTGGCAGCATAATATCAATTTCGATACCCTTAAGAATAGCTTCAGATACAAGAACTTTATTTCAACTCTTTCCATAAGTAGCCTCTAAAAGCAATGTTTCTATCAACAGTGATGGGTGGCCAACTGCTTTAACAAGTTTGGAGTAGGAAGAAGGCTAGACTGGGGATTCACCTACAACCTTTTCCTTACACAGTGCTTTAACTTGCAGACGAAAAATCAAAAATGTGGCCCTATGGTCTAATTGTACTAATATAAAGATATTTTGCACTAAAGAAAGAAACTATGCATTCAAACAAAGAATATTAACAATCATCTGTATGATTAACATTATGAAACTCTAAGTTTCTTATGAAAAAACTACAGAGAAAATATCCAATATTGTAACACAGTTTAATGATATAGGTGTATTGGTGTATTAGTTTCTACAACCATATGTTATCCAATAAAGACTGATAAAATTGAAATAAAGGATGAACTTGAATGACTTATTTTATTCAGCGAAATCATTTTTGAATCACTTTAAACCCTATTTAGCAAATGTTTTGCATCAATTATTTTAACGACTGTCCAAGTTATCCCATCCATAGTTTTAATCTGTGAGAGGTGTATGTGAGTTTTCTTGTCGAGACTCAGGTAATAACAACATTCTGAGTTAATCAGTCAAGAAAAACCATTAAAACTACTCTACATCTTTTAATAACCCTAGTCGATGACCTAGTTAGGGTCATGATTCATCCTCTTATCAAACACCTTGCCAAGTCGCTGTCAAAAATACCC